AATAGGGAGGGAAGGAGGGAAGGAGAAAAAGGGAAGGAAGGAATGAAAAGATACACGAGAAAGGAAGAAAATGTTGGAGGGAGGGAAGGAAGAGGGAAAGAAGGAAGGAAGATGGGAGGGAGGGAGGGAGGGAAGGAAGGAACAAACAAAGGAAGGAAGAGGAAAAAAGGAAAGGAAGGAAGGAGGAAAAGGGAAGGAAGGAACAAACGAAAAGGGGGAAAAGGAAAGGAAGGAGAAAAAGGGAAGGAAGGTAGGAAGGAAAGAAGGAAGGAAGGAAGGAAGGAGAAAAAGGGAAGGAAGGTAGGAAGGAAAGAAGGAAGGAAGAAAGAAAGAAAGAAAGAGAAAAAAAGAAAGAAAGAAAGAAAGAAAGAAAGAAAGAAAGAAAGAAAGAAAGAAAGAAAGAAAGAAAGAAAGAAAGAAAAGAAAAGCAGCAGAAGCCACAGAATATGGATGGGTTGCCAACCCATTGTAAATTACCAGCAGGTGAGAACCGCCATGTAGCTCACCTATATTAGCATTGCAAGCGTCCTTAAGACAGTCCACGTCCCATTTCTACGCAAGAACTCTCTCCACAGACACATCTGCTCTACGCTGGGTGTTGTTCCTGGAAAGGCTGAGCGTGCATGGATATTTTCCCCCAAGGCTGTGTGTGTGTGTGTGTGTGTGTTTGTGTGTGTGTGTCATTCTGGCCGTGCCACGGGGGAGAAATTCACCGGAGAAAGTCACCATGCCGGGAAGCGTTAGCAGTAAAAGGAAACCGTCAAAGCCCACGCTGGCCGGAGCAGAGAACAACTCAAAAGAAGCAATTTTAAGATTTTTAAGAAGATGAGCCGAGACCTGCCCTGTGGAATTGCCAAGAATCAGACAGGACTAAATGGGGGACATCAGCATCAGGGACCTTGGAGGTCTTCTAGTCCAACCCCCTGCTCAGACAGGAAATCCTATACCTATAAATTGGGTAGGGCCGGTCTAGGAAGAAAAAAAAAAAAAAAGGACCGGGGGTGACAGGATAGCAGTCTTCCAGTATTTGAGGGGCTGCCCCAAAGAAGAGGGGGGGGGGTCCACTTATTTTTCAAATCCCCTGAAGGCCGGAGGGAGACTAACCAAGGAGAGAAGCAACCTGGAATGAAGGAGACATTTCCCGACAGTCAGGACAATTAACCAGCGGAACAGCTGGCCACCGGAAGTTGCGAATGCTCCAACACTGGAGGGTTTAAAGAAGAGACTGGACAGCCACCTGTCTGGAACGGCCTAGGGTTTTTCCCTGCCTGAGCAGGGGGGATGGACTAGAAGACCTCCGAGGTCCCTTCCAACTCTGTTAGTCTGTTAAACTTCTCCAGTCTGCTTTTTTTGAGAAATAGAGGCGCTGTGGCTGTGCTCGCCACGCCACCCTTTTGCGAGCGCGTCCACAACGTCTCCGAGGAAGAAGGGGGAAAAAAAAACAGCAACTTTCTATCGATAAGACTGGAGGTTTTTAAAGAAGAGACTGGAAACCCCCATTTGTCTAGAATGGTGTAGGGTCAGTCTCCTGCTCGGGCAGGGGTTCGGACTAGATGACCTCCAAGGTCCCTCCCAACTCTTGTTATTCTATCCTCTGAACCCAGCAGTCTAAGGTGCCCTAGTTTCCCTGTTGTCTGAAGCTTCAACCTTTCTCCCTCCCTCCTTCCTCCCCCTTCCAAGCCAGAGAGAGAGAGAGAGAAACAGAGAGAAAGAGACAGAGAAAGAGAAAGAGAGAGAGAGACAGACAGAGAGAGAGAAAGAGAAACAGAGAGAGAGAGAGAGAGAGAAACAGAAAGAGAAAGAGAGACAGAGAAAGAGAAAAACAGAGACAGAGACAGAGAGAGAGAAAGAGAAACAGAGAGAGAGAGAGAGAGAAACAGAGAGAAAGAGACAGAGAAAGAGAAAGAGAGAGAGAGACAGACAGAGAGAGAGAAAGAGAAACAGAGAGAGAGAGAGAGAGAAACAGAAAGAGAAAGAGAGACAGAGAAAGAGAAAGACAGAGACAGAGAGAGACAGAGAGAGAGAAAGAGAAACAGAGAGAGAGAGAGAGAGAAACAGAGAGAAAGAGAGACAGAGAAACAGAGAGAGAGAGAGAGAGAGACAGAGAGAAAGAGAAACAGAGAGAAAGAGAAACAGAGAGAGAGAGAGAGAAACAGAGAGAAAGAGAAAGAGAGACAGAGAAAGAGAGAGAGACAGACAGAGAGAGAGAAAGAGAAACAGAGAGAGAGAAACAGAGAGAAAGAGAGACAGAGAAAGAGAAACAGAGAGACAGAGAGAGAGAAAGAGAAAGAGAGAGAAAGAGAAACAGAGAGAGAGAGAGAAGGAGAGGGAGAGAAATGTACTGCAAATGTCTTTTCCGTGTGTTGGCTGAACTCTGAATACTCCCTTGGACTCCTGAGCCCAAAATAATCCATTTCTCATTCTGGTGTCACTTTATGTAAGACTCTTAAAAAGAATGAAAGGAAACTTTTCTCTCTCTCTCTCTCTCTCTCTCCCTTTCCCCTCCCTTTGAATAGTTGTGAGTCATTTTAGCCTTCTGGATGCCGTTTGGACCTCATTAGGTGGAAATCTCTAGAGCAGTGGGGAAAAAAGTGGAGAAATTGAACCCTTAAGCCTTCAATCATTTTATTGGCTTTGTTTGTTTGTTTGCTTGTTTAATTCCTGGCCAATCCGCGACACCTTTCTTTCACCCAGAGATCCGATCCTTGCTCTAGCAAGTCTGTTTTATTCAGTGTTATCGCAAGGTTGCATCAGCCAGGAGACTGCACTGCTAATGCAAAGAAATGCCGAGGCGATAATAATCATCATAATCAGTCAGAATAGGAGCTGGAAGGGACCTTGGAGGTCTTCTAGTCCAGCCCCCTGCTCGTGCAGGAGACCCTAGACCAGGGGTGTCAAACTCGCCGCGTCACGGGACGTGTCACGACGTATTTTGACTTTTTTCCCTCCTTGCTGGAGCTGGGCTGGGTGCGACACCCCTGCCCTAAACCATTTCAATCAATCAATCAATCAGACTAGAGCTGGAAGGGACCTTGGAGGTCTTCTAGTCCAGCCCCCTGCTCAAGCAGGAGACCCTAGACCAGGGGTGTCAAACTCGCTGCGTCACGGGACGTTTCACAATGTATTTTGACTTTTTTCCCTCCTTGCTGGAGCTGGGGTGGGTGTGACACCCCTGCCCTGAACCATTTCAATCAATCAATCAATCAATCAATCAATCAATCAATCAGACTAGAGGTGGAAGAGACCTTGGAGGTCTTCTAGTCCACCCCCCTGCTCAGGCAGGAGACTTTAGACCAATCAATCAATCAATCAATCATTCAGAATAAGAGCCGGAAGGGACCTCGGAGATCTTCTGTGTTGCAGTGGCCGTTAAAGTCAATCGCCGCAGCCGGTCATTAAGCGAGCACCGGGGTTGTTATGCTTATCCTCCCCCCTCCCCTCTTTCTGCCCGTCATTTAACCTCCTTCCAGCCTCCTCACTGGTCTCCTTGCGGTTTCCCAAAGACGTTTCAAGTCCCAGAGAGGCTGCACACACCTTGTTTGCCAACCTGGGTGTGTAAAACGTCCGTTCCTAGCTTATTTATTTGTTTATTTCTCCCCTTCTGTGTTGGTTTTGTGCGCTGCCGAAGAGGAAGTGGGGGAAGGTGGAAAGCCCAAGGATGAAAGCCGGGTGGAAGGAGGGAGGGAGGGAGGGGAGGGGAGGGGACGGGGAGGCAAACTCCCATTGACCCCCCCGCCCCCACCCCCGCCTTAAGCAGGTAATCAGTGCATCATTGTTAGCGATAGGCTTCTGGGTTCAAGTGGAGTTCAGCCAAAGAATCCCCATTGTAGCACAACCTGGCTTTCATCCCCAGCTTTCCAGGATGCGGGTCTTGGGAAACCGTTGCGGTGGGGTCGGGCTGCCCCCCCCACTCCTCGGCGGGCACCAAACACACCCCCTCCCCACTTTTCCCACTGACGGTGAGGATGAAGAAGAAGAAGAGGAAGGAGGAGGCTACGCTTGGAATATGGCATCCAGTTTTGGGAGCCACGATTATTAGAAACAGATGTGGAGACTCTAGAAAGAGTGCAGAGAAAAGCAACAAAGATCACTCAATCAGAACAGAGGTGGAAGGGACCTCGGAGGTCTTCTAGTCCATCCCCCTGCTCAAGCAGGAGACCCTAGACCATTTCAATCAATCAATCAGAATAGAGCTGGAAGGGACCTCAGAGGTCTTCTAGTCCAACCCCCTGCTCAAGCAGGAGACCCTAGACCATTTCAATCAATCAATCAATCAATCAGAATAAAGCTGGAAGGGACCTCAGAGGTCTTCTAGTCCATCCCCCTGCTCAAGCAGGAGACCCTAGACCATTTCAATCAATCAATCAATCAGAATAGAGCTGGAAGGGACCTCGGAGGTCTTCTAGTCCATCCCCCTGCTCAAGCAGGAGACCCTAGACCATTTCAATCAATCAATCAATCAATCAATCAATCAATCAATCAGAATAGAGCTGGAAGGGACCTCGGAGGTCTTCTAGTCCATCCCCCTGCTCAAGCAGGAGACCCTAGACCATTTCAATCAATCAATCAGAATAGAGCTGGAAGGGACCTCGGAGGTCTTCTAGTCCATCCCCCTGCTCACGCAGGAGACCCTAGACCATTTCAATCAATCAATCAATCAATCAATCAATCAGAATAGAGCTGGAAGGGACCTCGGAGGTCTTCTAGTCCAACCCCCTGCTCAAGCAGGAGACCCTGGACCATTCCAGACAGGTGGCTGTCCAGTCTCTTCTTAAAAACCTCCAGTGATGGAGCGCCCACAACATCTGGTGGCAAGCTGTTCCACTGGTTAATTGTCTTCAGTTAGGAAACGGTCGTTTAAGTGTGAAAAGCAGCCCCAAATCCCTTTTTTTCCAGTGTTGTTGTAACTTGGAACGGTCCTTAAATGACTTTGTCATAAGCCGAGGACGTACGATGACACCCGACGAAAGACGGACGCCGACCCGACCCGTTCCACTCACCTGGGGCCGGTCAGCGTGGCTGTCTCTCGGACGGCTTGGGCGGTCTCCGAGGCGAAGTCCAGGGCACCGGCCACCGGCTTCGTTAAGGTGCCAACGAGTCCTTTTCCAAGACCGGATATGAAGCCGCTCATTCCGCCTTCGGTCTTCACCCCTTCTACCGTCGACGTGATCACGCTGGTCAGCCCGCCGATGATGCCTGTTGGGAAAAAAGGAGGCAGGTATTGATGAGGGCTTGAACAAAAGGATTTTGGGACAAAAGGACCGCCAAGAGTGGAACGCAAAGGCAGCCAAAGTGTCCTTTGTGTGTGTGAGAGAGAGAGAGAGAAGGTGGACGCTGATTACCGTGAGCCAGGCCTTGGATGCCGGCCACCAGGTGTTCGCCACTGGTGGCTGCGTGGTATCGGATGTATTCCCGCTCCGTCTGATGCCGGTTATCCATCGTCTTTCCCAGACCGTCAGACAAAGTTCCGGTAAACTGCCGTGAAGGGTAAAAAAAAAAGAGAGAGAGATCTGTTAATTGCCCAGAACGTAACTAGCCTACGCAGCTATATAATTACATCCCAAGTACAGGGACTCCTGTACATTTAAGATCAGATAAACCTTCATTGTTGCCCTTCTGGGTACACAATGGCACACAACACAATGAAATTCCGATGCCTGCTCTCTTGTCTAAAGAATATATAGACACATACATGCACACATATAGGTATACTGTATATATACATACACATATATACATATACATGTCTATCTGTCATCTATCTGTCATATATATCTCTATCTATCTATCTATCTACCTATCAATCATCTATCCATCCATCTATCGTCTCTCTATCTATATCATCTCTATCTATCTATCTATCTATCTATCTATCTATCTATCTATCTATCTATCTATCTATCTATCTATCTATCTATCTCTCTATTCATCCATCCATCCATCCATCTATCTATCTGTCTGTCTGTCTGTCTGTCTATATATCTATCATATACTATCTATCTATCTATCTATCTATCTATCTATCTATCTATCTATCTATCTATCTATCTATCTATCTATCATCTATCTATCTATCTATCATCTCTCTCTATTCATCCATCCATCCATCCATCTATCTATCTGTCTGTCTGTCTGTCTGTCTATATATCTATCATATACTATCTATCTATCTATCTATCTATCTATCTATCTATCTATCTATCTATCTATCTATCTATCTATCTATCTATCTATCTATCAATCATCTATCCATCCATCTATCGTCTCTCTATCTATATCATCTCTATCTATCTATCTATCTATCTATCTATCTATCTATCTATCTATCTATCTATCTATCTATCTATCTATCTATCTATCTATCAATCATCTATCCATCCATCTATCGTCTCTCTATCTATATCATCTCTATCTATCTATCTATCTATCTATCTATCTATCTATCTATCTATCTATCTATCTATCT